TGATATACTGTACCATTGGAGTTCCTGTTTCTGTTTCCCTTTCATATATATATATATATATATATATATATATATATATATATATATATATAAAAATGTGGAATGGCTTATTGACCATTTCCACATGCATATGATTATTCTTTCTTGCTAGTTAAGTGTATGCATCCATATTCTAAATAACCACAAACAACCACAATAATTTCAATATTAAGAGAAGTTATCCATAAAGACTTACCAGAAAAATGCCTTCAATCATGGTTTTAAGCATTTCATCTTGAAACCTGCTTATAACATTGGAAAGACCAAGCTGCATTTCTTCTTCAGGTATGTCAAACTGTGATCCTGAATATCTCCTTTTGTCTGATGTATCTGTTACATTAAAATCAGCAAGACAGTTTGAACTAATATCTTAGAGAACAGAAAAAAGAAAATGTATTTATTATTTCTTGAACTACACAATGCACTATGAAGCCTGCAATGTAATGGAGTAAATGTTGGAAATTCACAAAATAATTAAAATGTGTTTATAAAAACGACAAGGGAGACAATTAATACCTCATATGCAAAGTCTCTTTTTCTAATGGACACTGTAGAACAAGCAGCCCTTTGTGTTGTGGCAGCAACCAGCCACAAGACAGGAAAGAGGGGCTTGGAGGACCTTCCTGTGTAGTTTGTTAAAAAAATAATTTTAGAGAGGGAGGGGGCAGTGCATTAAATAGGGTAAAGGAGTGGACAGCGTATTGATTTGAGGGTGGGGGCAAGTGTATTAATTTGGGGAGAGAGGGGGCAGTGTATTAAATTAAGGAAGGGAATGCACAGTGTTTTTTTGTCTTTTTTTTTGGGGGGGGAGGGCAGTGTGTTAAATTGGGGGGGTCTATTAATTTGGGGGAGGGGAGGGGAGGAGAGCAGTGTATTAAAGTAGGGGGAAGGGTGGCAGTGTATTGGATTTGGGGCCAGTGTATTAGATTGGGTCTACATTGAGGAGCTGAACACAAAGCCACAAAGCATTTTGCCACACATGCACAATAGCCTCTCAATGCTTTCCTATGAGATAATCAAGTTTCCGTAGTGGTCAGCCGGGATAAGAAGGGATGACACTATGTGTGGACCCATCTACTCAGTCCCTCAGGTATTTAAATATAAAGCAGGGAGTGGTAAAGGAGTTAGGATTAGAGTTTAGAACAAAGGCAAAATTGAAATGTAGTTCACATAAATATGAAGAATAACCTGCCTCTAAATTATAAAGGTAGATATTATACTCCTAATAATAATATGCTAACCCCCCTACTGCTTCGAGGCAGTCCCCAGTATGGCTGACAAGCCCTTTTCCTTAAAAAAGTAGTTTTTTTTCTGGCCGATTGGCATGGGATCTCTGTTCATTCCCCCACTTTTAGAGCACTCACCTTCAATTCACACAGACGCAGCGGCACACACAGGGTTAGTAGCCATCTACGGCAACCACTGGTTTATGGACGACTGGCCCCCTAAAACGGATGCCTTGCCGGCCTTTAGAGAAACATCTACTTTATTCGAGATCTATGCCATCGTAGCGGCCGCCCACACGTGGGGTCACCTTTGGACCGGCAAGCCTGTGACATCATTAATAAAGGTCGGTCATTCCTCCCTAACAATTATGAGGCTTATTTGCAGGCTGACGTGGTTGGCAGCTACCTCTCAGTTCTTCCTAGTCTGTATCCACATTCCTGGTGTCCAGAACACAGCAGCTGACGCTCTGTCATGCCCCCAATTTGATACCTTCTTCCACACATTCCCCACGGCCCATCACTTTCCATCTAGGATACCACCTTTCCACGAGCTAATCTGGGACTAAGCACACAATTGCACCTCGCACAGGCATGCTTCACGCAGGGTCACGACTTTCCCTTGACATACGCCAGGGCTTACTGTATTGCACTATGACACATACAGGAGCTGGCTTAAATTTGAGAACCTTGCTGTTATAATCATGGTAAATTGTTTGCCTTTTTCTCTAAAACTCCCAACCAAGCTTCTTACTTAAAACCGTCTATGCTGTCACTCAGTGATTACGTCCCCAAAGGTACTACAGCAGGAGCTTCAAACACTTACACCCCAGTCTACGTCACAAACAACGGGGTCATCAAGAAGCATCAGCTCAGGTACTTACATACCTCAATCTTCCGTTACTCATGCTATATTAACTTGCAATAAAGTGTGGTTTATTTGAATCCTCTTTTGCCCTCTTTACAGGCCTTCTCGTATGTTTGTTTCGGCACACCTCAACCAACTTTGCTTCCCCTTCTACATTCCATTATGTATTAGATAAATTCCGAGCACAAGTTGGAAGGCCATTTGGCCTGAATTTGTGGGAGGAGTAATGATCCTATATAAACCCTACCCCCCTACTTACCTTTGTCTTGCAAGCTGTTTGTCCCCACCCACCTACACCCATCTATATTAACACTCACCTTTCTGGGCCCTCTTTTTACAGGCCTACTCGTATGTTGGTTTCGGCACACCTCAACCAACTTTGCAACCCCTTCTACATTCCATTACATATTAGATAAATTCCGAGCACGGAATGTTTAAGGCCGAAGGCCTGTATTTGTGGGAGGAGTTAGCGTTCCTATATAAACGCTACTCCCCCCCTTTCTACCTTGGCGTAAGCACGCTGTTCACTGGTCCTCCTCAATGACCTTGCACGTCCGGTTTCCGGCCGCACGTCCCGCCAGTTCAGAGCTCCCCCTCCATTCGGGGAAACTCAGCCGATGCACTTCCAGCACTGGAACGCTGAACATACGAACGTCCAGGTAACAGGCGGGAATAGCCACATTTAGGCTATTCCCGCCAGTTCGCATATACAATTTACAGCATGTGTCATCCAAAACGAATATCTTTCAGACCTGTCATTCCAGGTCCATTCATTATACAATTGGGCCATAACAGATCCACCCCTTGCACGTCGACAATCGTGTGTAAATCATTTCCAGAGTCTGTTTAATATGATACTGTTTTTCTGCAACTGTAGGAGAGACTTTTATTGAAAATTTGTAAGAGAATCATGCTTGGAAAGTGTGATAAAGGATATATTTTCAACTGCAGGACCTGAATGCATACGTTTATTCAGATTATCACACAAATTGTTTGTATGTAAGACTGAATAACAGTGTCTTTGTGGTATGAACTGTTAACATCTGGTTGTATGTATGGTTGCACTAGTCCATGATAGACCTCATTAACAGTACAATGCTACTTCTGGCATAGTCTAATATCACAATAAGGGGATGCTCAGTAAACCAATACATAATCTCAATTAATCTACTCCTCATGTATAGCAAATTTCAAGCTAGGGGTACCCTCAGAATGTTTTGGACCAAGCCTTAACAAAGGCTAAAACAACCTACTCATTTCATTCCTCTCAATCTCAGAGGGTGGCCAACATCAGACCCATCTTCCTGATGTTTTTTTAACACCGCCAGCTCAGAATTGACCTCTTCAGTCCGGAACAACTGGAAAACACTGGAATTGGAACCATCTCTCCCAGAGATTTTTCAACAGAAGCCCATGTTCTGCTATAGACGTAACAAGAATCTGAAGGTCCTACTGGTCAACACTGACCCATATCATTGTTATAGCCCTGTTAAAAAAGTAGAGACACATGTCGGATGTGTAAGGTGTTTGGGGTGTGTGATGTGTGGTCACATTATCCCTTCCAAAACAAATAAGGAAAATCAAATAGGTGTGTTAACTGCAATCAAATTGCACACAATGGAAGAAACTTATGTCAAGATTGTCTGACAGAAGCCGCTGAAGGAAGAAAGTCTCCACAAACAGAACTGGAAAAATGGATTACAGAGGCAATTGCAGAAGGGTTTAAATCCACATGCAAGATGTCCTCATCTAAACGCTTGAGAAGGGAAGAAATCTCCTCTGAGTCAAGTGATAGTATGGAGATGGAGGATATGTCGGACGAAGAGGAAGGTAAAGTTAACTATGCCTCCAGAAATATGGATTCAAAATCTGTTGATACATTGATCAACATAAGAGAGACCCTGAGATTCCCAGAAGAAGAAACTGCAATAAAGGAATCTGATAGATATTTTGAGGATTTGAGAGCTAATAGACCTACCGGTCCGGTACACTCTACAATAAAAGAGATAATTTCCCAAGAATGGCAGAAACTTGAGAGAAAAGCGATGTTGAAGAACAAAGCATTCAGATTATATCCATATGCTAAAGAAGATTGCAAAACTTTGAATGCTGTACCCAAGATTGATGTTGCAGTTATACATATGACAAAAAAAAAAAAAAAAAAGACAGCCCTTCCTATTGACTCCATGGCTTATTTAAAAAAATCTATGGAGAAAAGGCTAGATTCCAGTCTGATAGTCATACCTGGCGTTAGGATCTGCGCTACATCCAGCAGTAGCATTAACAACGCTGTCAAGAGCCTTCAAAGTATGGCTAGACAACTTAGAGGAGGATATCGCCAAAGGAGTTCGGAGAGATCATCTTCTGGAAGGACTGAGAGATCTGAAGTTGGCGACAGAGTTTTGCTCTGAAGCATCCCTGGATGTTACCAAAATGGTGGCAAAAAGCATGGGCCTGTCTATAGCAGCAAAAAGAGCATTATGGCTGCACTCCTGGGGAGCAGAATACGCCTCTAAAGCATCCTTGTGTGCTCTTCCATTTCAAGGTGATCTCCTATTTGGAAAGGTCTTGGATGAACCTATCCATAAAGCAGCAGGTGGGAGAAAAGCCGTTCTTCCGCAAGTCAGAAAATATGGTTCTACTGCATGGAAAGATAGACGATATAAAGATTGTGCCTTTCGTGAAAGTAGGGCATATAAACCTGGGAAAGAGTATTTCAGATCCAATTGGAAAAACACTCAGCAAAAATCTTCCAGAGGAAGAGGAACTAAGCCAGGGAAAAACTTCTGAACGTGTGCCGGCCCAGCCAGGAATTACAGGAGGAAGACTGCATCTCTTTTATCCTGTCTGGGACAGAAGTGTGACAGACGCCTGGGTCCTATCAATATTGGCCGTAGGATACAGGTTAGAATTTGAGGCCATTCCGACAAAGGATGTGTTTACCCAGTCTCGGGTAGCAAAAGGAGAAAAAGAGACAGCTATGAGGGACTGCATCTTGAAACTCCTAAAAGAACAGGTGATAGAATACGTTCCAATAAAAGAACAAAGAAAGGGTCACTATTCTACGGTTTTTCTAGCCCCAAAACCACAGAAGAAGTGGAGGCTGATCCTGGACTTGAAGAAATTGAATTTGAAACTAAAAAGAAAAACATTCAAGATGGAATCCATTTTGACTATTGTACCAAACATCAGTATGGGGGATTGGATGATGTCTATCGATTTGAAAGATGCATATCACCAGATTCCAATCAATATATGGCACAGAAAGTTCCTCAGATTTTGTGTATTTGGAAGACACTACCAGTTCAAAGGTCTTCCATTTGGACTAAGCCTGGCTCCGGGAACATTCTCAAAGGTACTCATCACATTAGTAGCAGTAATCAGAAAGAAAGGGATAGAGATATACCATTACTTGGACGATTTTCTGATTATAGGTCCATCCAGCCAGAGGGTAGCTCTCCACACTCAGTGGGCCATAGAGATCCTCGTGAACCATGGTTGGAAACTGAACTTGGAAAAGAGTATGACAGTTCCCTCTCAGAATATTGTATTCCTGGGGGCTGCCATAGATACGGTAATCGGACAAATTAGTTTGTCTACAAAAAGAATGGAGAAGATTCGGATGAAGATCAGGAATTTCCACTACAAGAGACACATTACAGCAAGGGAATTCATGAGCCTTATAGGATCTCTTACATCGACTATAGGACTGGTGAAATGGGCCCAGTGGAAGATGTGTCCCATCCAAATACAGTTTCTAAATGAATTCAAGAAACAAGAGGGCAAAAAATTCCTATTTCTCAAAAAACAATAGACGACCTGTCGTGGTGGGAGAAAAACAAGAACTTATCCTTGGAATTTCCTCTGGAGGATCCACCATGGAAAACAGTTACTACAGACGCAAGTCTCCAAGGATGGGGTGCACATTTAGAAAATGAATGGATACAAGGCACATGGACACAGAGAGAGAGAGAGAAAGTTGCACTCAAACCTAAGAAAACTAAGGGCAATATCCTATGCCCTGCAGGGATTTCAACAAGATATAAGAACTTATTGGGTGAGAATCCAGACAGACAACAGAGCAGTGGCCTCATATGCAAACCGACAAGGTGGGACAAGAACCAAGGCTCTATTAAGAGAAATATTCCCATTGATGGAATTAGCTCAAAACAGCCTACAGGGCCTGAAAGCAGTATATCTTCCAGGAAAAGAAAATGTTCTGGCAGACTATCTGAGCAGAACGATGATTTAATCAGGAGAATGGCAATTAAACCCAGAGGTATTTCATCAGATATCGTTAAGATGGGGCACACCACAGGTCAATTTGATGGCTTCATATCAGAATGCTCAAGTCCCAAATTATTTTCCCCTAAAGGCAGAATATCAATCAGCAGGACAAGATGCCTTTTCCCTTCCCTGGGACTTCGATCCGGGGTATGCGTTCCCTCCCCTGCCAATGATTCACAGGTTGTTGAGAAACATTTGGAAGGAATGGAAGACAGTGATTGCCATAATTCCAAGCTGGCCGAGAAGATTGTGGTTCCTACTCCTGAACAAAATGTTCTTAGGTCCTCCATGGTCTCTTCCTCAGAGAGCAGATCTGTTAATACAAGGTCCAGTGATGTATCCCAACCTAAATCAATGGAAACTGGGGGCTTGGCTCTTGTAAAGCAGAGACTTATAGAGCAGGGATTACCAGAACCTGTTGTGAAAACACTGTTAAAATCCAGAAAAAATTCCACCTCCGCGTGTTACCAAAGAATATGGGATTTATTTCAATTATAGACAAAAAAGAAATCCAAGAATTTCCTACAACCATCAAATATAGATATTCTGGAATTTCTACACGAAGGTCTGGAGAAGGGCCTGAGCTTAAGCACTTTAAAAGTACAGTCATCAGCCTTGTCGGCTCTGTGTAACACCTCCTGGGCATCAGACCCTATCATTGTGAGGTTCTTTAAGGCAGCTATAGGCATAAGACCTCCATCTAGAAACTATGCTCCTCCGTGGGATCTTCCTTTGGTACTGGATGTTTTGTCAGACTCCCCCTTTGCTCTGTTGGATGAGTTGGGTATAATTAATCTGACGTACAAGACCTTGTTCTTGGTGGCAATCACTACGGCTAAAAGAATGTCTGAAATTCAAGCCTTCTCCAGTGATCCAAATCACGTTCAGGTTTCCCATGATAGAATTATCTTAAGACCTAGAGTGGAATTCCTACCTAAGGCGGTTTCATGTTTTCACTTGGTACAGGAAGTGGTTCTCCCTTCTTTTTACCAAAACCCTTCTTCTTCGGAAGAAGTTAAACTCCATCAGTTGGATGTAAGGGAATGTGTAATCAAATATATAGAGGTCTCTAAGCTATTTAGAAAATTGCAGCACTTATTTTTTATCCCTGCAAAATGTAACGTGTGGAGAGACACTTAATATAACCGCCACCACAATTAAGGGTGCTATTCCAAAAAGGTACTTCCTCCAATACCAATAAAGTAAATACTCAAAAGAAGGGAATGCACACCATCTGATACAATAATATCTATCTATATATATTTATTACAATACAAATACAAGCCATACATACAAAATGTAACAATATAACAGTGACCAAATAGGCTAAACAACTCAACAATTATATTTACCAAATTCCACAAGCCTATATGGGCAGAAACACGAGTCACAAACAATCCCCCAACGTTTCAGCTCCTCCTGGTAGCCTTTATCATGAAGGGAGGGAGACCACTAAGGGAGGTGGGTAGGTGGAGGAGAGACCACTATGGAAGGGAGGGGGGTGGAGTAGAGACCACTATGGAAGGGGGAGGGAGGAAGAGAGACCACTTAGGGTGGAGGAGAGACCATAAAATGGAAGGGGAGAAGAGGAGAGACCACTAAGGGAGAGGGCGGGAGCACCAAGGGAAGGGGGTAGGAGAGAGCTCTAAGGCACCAGAGAAGAGGGCACTACGGGAAAGAGGGCAGGGAGTTCACTGGGGCAGGGGGGAGGGTGCATGAGAGAGAGGAGAGACCAATAACGGATGGGGTGGGGGAGAAGAGACCAATAACGGACAGGGGAGAGCTGTGAGGGATGGGAGGGGAGAGCTCTACGGGACAGTGGGGCAGGGGAAAGCAATAATGGACAGTGGTGCAGGATACAGCAGTAAGGGACAGGTGGAGAGCTCTAAGGGACAAAATGGGGGAGGGGGTGCTGAGAAAGGAGGGAAAGAGAAGCTCAAGGGGGCTGGTAGGACTCTACCCTATCCTACCCCACAAACTCTCTATTTCACACTACACACACACAATGCATCCCTATACATACACAGAAACACACAATGCATTCCTACACACACAGACAATGCACCCCTTGCACACATACACATACATACACATTGCATCCCCTACGTACACAGAAACACGCCTTGCATCCCTCACACATACAAACACAGATTCACACAACACATCTCTTACACACAATACACCCCTTACACACAAACACACACTGCTTTATATCCCTTACACAAACACACACACACACTGCATCACCTACACAAACTGGTATCCCTGTACACTACATTCCATAAGCACACACACTTTAGATCCTCTACAATAACACAACACAGTGGTCCTTTAATTCAATAACTCCAACAATGCCTTTTGATAGATTGCATACAACATTTAACATTATCCCTCATTTGGACTGTCAGAAAAAAATAGAAAAACTGTATTCAAGCAAAGTTAATAATAGAGCATGCATAATAAACATTATTTACCTCGGTATATAAGTCTATTCACAGCTAAAAGTGTCAGTTTTTGAAGACGTTGCACAAATTCAGATTCAGAAGCCCTTATTGGATTTTCTTGACTCATTCTTCTCTGCATCATCACTGTGAGTTCATTGTTTGCGACTGTGCGCATTGTCATTAATAAAGGGTCAGATTGTGCAATAGATAATCTATGAACACCTACAAAATTAGAAGTAAAACAAATCTATATATATGGTAAAATATGACTGCAGAAAAAGTGGTACTTGCTGAATAATGAATTTTAAATCAACTGCCTGTGTGAATCATTTTTTTTTTTTTAAAGCTTTCATGGTTCAAATCAACTCTGTATTAAGTGTTCTTGCACAGCAAGACCACTTAATGTTATCTCACATATATATTATTATTAAGTGTTCTTGCATAGCAAGACCACTTAATGTTATCTCACATATATATTATTAAGTGTTCTTGCATAGCAAGACCACTTAATGTTATCTCACATATATGTTATTATTATTATTATTATAGCAAAATTTGCCACCCTAACTCCTCCCACAGTTTTTACACTACATAGACCAAAATTTACCAAAACGTGCAGATTGTTCCCGATCGGATTGCTATTACTTTGTGGAACGTTTCGCCGAATGGTTCACGGAATATCGTCGTTTTTGTGGCGCAATTTGTCCCATAGGAATGAATGGCAAGGCTAGAGTGGGAGCTGGCAAAAGCTGAAAAATCAGGACATGATTTCTAAACTGCCACCACTCCCTTATTTTCAGGCCCACCTACACAAACCTTATATCAAAACGTTCAGCTATCCCTGCTGCCACTAAACATGTCAATGGCTAAGCCATAGTCCTGAAAGTTTTCATGATATAATCATTTGTTTGCAACTAATGCCGTCCATTGACATTCACTCTACAAAGCTCAAATTTGAAGTGCAATTTCTAAACTGCAACTGTGCCTTCATTTTTAATACATCAGAGACATATTATGCATCAAAATGTAGATCTGGGTCTTGTGATTCTCATAATATAAAGCTCTTCACTGTAGGATTTATAGTTTTTAAAATATGACCGTTTGAAGATGGCAACCGCCAAAATACTCTGACCTGTGCCAGGCTGCAGCAGCAAGTGATGAACACCTGCTAATGTTTTTATAAATGTATGGTTTAATGTAACTGTGCAACAACGATGCAATTAAATGTGCTATATAAATGATAACAGTTACTCCGCCCACTCCAGTTGTAGGCTACTGGTTGGAGGCAAGAACACTTCACACAATTTCCCCAGAAATTGTAGCTTTTCTAGTTATACATAGTTCTGTATCCACATGCATGTTCCCAATCAATTCTTTATGTAATTTCCAGAAATTAGAAGGATATTTCAAGTACCAGATCCACTACAGCTTAAAGTGGCACTATCAATTTGCAGGTTTTCCAATTTTAAGTAATCTTTTTTTTTCTCCTTTTTTGCATTGTTTTATTATTTTTTATTATTTTTTTTTATTATTTTTTTTTGGGGGGGGAGGGGAATTCTATTTAGGGGTTTGATTTATATATTGTTTTTATTTTAAGGAGGAGCTTTGGCAATTTATCTCAATGGGCAGAGCTTAAAAGGTACACTGTAACACTGTATCTGCTTCATCTCATTGGCATGTATACAGTGTCTAGAGTCCCCTGGCACACCTTTCTATTCTGTGTTAAACTGGTATGGGTAGAAGGAAGCCACATCTTCAGTAGGGGGTGGCTCTACATGAAGCCAAGGACTCACCGTAAAACTGACCTGAAATGGTCATAGTGCCTAGAGCATGGAGATCGCTTTATCAAGTGTGGTAGCCTGTGTGCAGCATTCCTCAAACCAGGTGAGGTTTTGATGTAAGTCGTTCTTGTGGCGAAATTTGTCCCATAGGAATGAATGGCAAAGCTAGAGTGGGAGCTGGCAAAAGCTGAAAAATCAGGACATGATTTCTAAACTGCCACCACTCCCTTATTTTCAGGCCCACCTACACAAACCTTATATCAAAACGTTCAGCTATCCCTGCTGCCACTAAACATGTCAATGGCTAAGCCATAGTCCTGAAAGTTTTCATGATATAATCATTTGTTTGCAACTAATGCCGTCCATTGACATTCACTCTACAAAGCTCAAATTTGAAGTGCAATTTCTAAACTGCAACTGTGCCTTCATTTTTAATACATCAGAGACATATTATGCATCAAAATGTAGATCTGGGTCTTGTGATTCTCATAATATAAAGCTCTTCACTGTAGGATTTATAGTTTTTAAAATATGACCGTTTGAAGATGGCAACCGCCAAAATACTCTGACCTGTGCCAGGCTGCAGCAGCAAGTGATGAACACCTGCTAATGTTTTTATAAATGTATGGTTTAATGTAACTGTATGGTTTAATGTTGCGGAGTGCTTGATAAAAATGTTTTAGTTGCATGTATCGGAGTGTTATCAGCAGAGTGCTTGGTTTTTCTTCTAGCAGTGAGTCTAGGGTTCTCAGTGTCCCGTTCTGAAGGGTTGTATGTATAGGGATGAATCCCTGCTCGTCAGTGAATGGCCATGCCCTTGAGATGAGACCCCCTCCTTTATCGTGGTTATAGGTGATCGGTGATAGGGGGCTAGGCGTAGGTGATACATGTGCTTGTTTCCTTAGTGATCTCCAGCTGAGTAATGTTTGTGCTACTGGTCCTGTTTCGTCTTTGTGTGTCGTTCCTCTGTGTCCCCCTGCATCCCATATGGTGGAATGTAGAGTTGCACTCTCCCCTCCTGCATTTAGGGCCACTCATTGTTTCTGCTCGGGGTTCGTGTGCCATTCTAATATACGTTGTAAGACCATGGCTTGATGATATTTTTTGAAAATCAGGTAAAGCTAAGCCCCCACTGTGTCTGGGTAAGCAGAGTGTTTCATGTTGGAGTCTTGGTTGTTCCCCTCGCCACACCGCTGATTTTAAGAAGGAAGTCGATATGGCGATTGGGATTGTCTGGAAGGGATAGAGGAGTCGTGGGAGTATATTCATTTTGAGGACAGCTATGTGTCCGTGCCATGAAATATGAGGGCACTTCCAGTTGTTAGTATTTTCAGTAGAGGGATGTGATTATGGCAGTAGAGGTCATTCGGGTCCGGGGTTATCCATATTCTCAAGTACTTTATTTTGTCGCCAAACCACTTAAATGGAAACAGTGTCTCTAACCTTTGGTATTCATCATCTAGGATTGTTGCATTCAATACCTCACATTTAGACAAATTGAGTTTGTAGCCCGAGATGCCTCCACATTTTCTGAACTCTGCTAGTAAGCATGGTAGCGTGGTTCTGGGAGGAGGTTGTCCGCATCAGCAGCAACCTTATGTACCTCTCCTCGCCAGGAGAAGCCTTGTATGTTAGGGCATTGATGAATCATTTGTAGTAGGGGTTCTAGAGTCACGGTGAACAGTAATGGGGACAGGAGGCATCCCTGACGCGTGCCGTTGGAGATTTTAAAATCGTCAGTGAGCGCTTCATTGACTCTTATCACCGCTCGGGGTTTGCTGTATAAGGCTTGGATCCATGTAATGAATCTTTGTCCTAGTCCCATGTTCTTCAGTGTGGCGATCATGTAGGGCCACTGTACACGATCAAACGCCTTCTCGGCATCGGTGGAGAGCAAGAGGAGGTGTTGTTGTATGTTGTATTGTGAATAGTCATAGGGTGCTATTTTGTGCCTCCCGACCCGGTATAAATCCTGCCAACGATTTCACTCCGAAGGTCCCTCCATCTGCAATCGCGTTAACAGCTTTCGTCAACCATGGTAGCAACGTCGCCGATATGTTTTATAATATCCCGTGGAGAATCCGTCGGGCCTCGGTGCTTTTCCAGTTTTGGTTGTTTTTAACGCCGCTGCAAGTTCTTCCTCTGTGATCGGAGCTTCCAGTGCTGTCATCGTATCTGTAGTCTCTTCAGGTTCGCATTTCGCAAGTATTATTGTATCCAGGCGTCTTCCGCTGCAATCTGTTGATAGAGGGCAGTCAGTTCTCTTTGCATTTCTTTTTTTTTTTTTTTTTTGGGAGGTGATTCGGATTATCGAACCCCGAATAACACTTATGTGCTTCCCATATCGAAATTGGTAATTTGTCTGTTGTTCCGTTGTCTTGGAAGTAGTGTGTTAGGTCCTGTTATATCTGTGACCGAGTATCCAGGTCCAGAAGCAATGCTTCATTGAGTCTCCACGTCCATCTGGTCGGCTGACAAAGAGGGGATTCTATGTCAATGCTAACCGCGCCGTGGTCTGACCACGTGGCTGGTTCGATTTTGGCTGAGAGTAACTGCGGTAGGCCTATTTGTCTGATGAGGATATAATCAATACGGGAGTAGCGGTTGTGTAGTGCTGAGTAGTATGTGTAGTATGTGTAGTCTTTCACGGTCGGGTTAAGGGTTCGTCAACAGTCCACTAGGCCTGTATCATTCAGTGATCTTCTAATTGAGTGAATGCTGAGTTGAGGTATGCTGCTATGACCCGTTGACAAGTCCAATGTAGAGTCCAGAGGGACGTTAAAGTCACCTCCCCAGTATGAGGGTGCCTTCCGATAAGTCTTGTAATCTAGCTTGTGTGTTCCTGAGGAATTGTGTCTGTCTTGCCTAGTATAATTCCATTCAGGAATAAGGACCGGCCCTGCAAGTCGCTTTCAATGTCTAACTCTTGGAATTCCAAGTTCACAGCTAGGAGGATAGCCACTCCAGTCTTGCAATGTGTTGGGTGATTGCAAAAATAATTATTCGGGTAGGTTTTATCTTGAAACAAGCAGGTTTGTTGAATAAATCAAAATAGTTCAAAGGTATTTGGAGTTGAGCAGGTTTCTCTGTATGAGCAAGGATCAAAAGTTATGTCAGATTCAGAACAACAACTTCTATCGCTGTGTATCATCTCACAATGATAGATGATGTTGTTCTGAATCGGACATAACTTTTGATCCTTGCTCATACAGAGAAACCTGCTCAACAGCACACTGCAGTGGTTTGGTGCTTGGAGTATTCCTTTATACAGAAGAACCCATTAAAAAATAATACATCATGTTAAAGTGACTATACATGTAGAGCTTCTTATAATGATAGATATATTATAATAAGCTTATGGTTAATGCTTTGGAATGTCTTTTTTCATGATACACACAAAAAGTAGAGATTGTGAGCCAGATTTTTTTGTCAGAAAATGGTTAAAACCGCTGCCACCACAACTTCCATTTATCAGCTATTTGCCTTGTCAACTGATGGGAACATACATTGTGTTTCTGTATGCAAAATAGATGCCTATGACATCTCATTGTGCTTGCAATTTTGACCTAATGTTATACTCTCACTTAGTAAGTGGCTTATTTGGCTCCTGTCGGGTAGCAGTTCCAAGAAGGGATTTAACTTACTAAAAACTTAAGATACAGTGAATAAACATATTAGTATTTGCAGTTTACTGTATGAATCACTAATTATGTCACATTTACATTGTTGCTTAACTACTCACCGGCAATACTTTTTCTTTTTGGATATTTGGCATGATGAGGAGTAGAGACAAAACTGAATGAATTTGCAAGACTTAGAGAATCTTGGTTTGCTGTTGTCTTTATGAAGTCTATGGCTGACTGCAAAACTTTAAATTGCAGTAAAACTGCCAAATCTACAATGAAAAAAAAATTTAAAAAAATAAAAAAAGTAGTCTACTGATAAAATGTATTAAATGTTATTTTATACAAACACTACAAGAGCTGTACAGTTAACAAAGAGGAAACTTTAAACCATGATGGAAATACCTTCCCTTTAGTGAACAAACAAAATGAAAATGTAATATGCATGCAATAATAACACTGTAAATACTGATGATTTACTTATATTTAGTAAATATGCTACTAATCTGCTTATATATAGAGGTTAAAACAGCCCAGGGCTACACCCATGCAAATACAGAGAACAAAAAAAGCCTCTTCGCCTGTGTGCTTCTTAACCCGTCTTTTTATTTATTTTTTATAATTTGAGTTTTTTTCAACAACAATATAAAAATACACTATTTACAAACATAAATGTTCATACAAAGGATGATTGTCACATATCATACACTGTTACAAATAAACATAAAAACATACAAAAACAGTCAGAACAGCGCATTTCTGAGTTTTAGCTTTTATCCTTTGCTGGTTTTATTATCTTATTCTTAGAAATTCATTATTCCCTTTTCTTTCCTATTTCCCTCCCCCTTT